TGCCTCACCTGCATTTGTGGCAGCAGCGGACCAGATCATCTTGTTGCACGCGGTCAGTGAGAAACTGAGGCCGACAAAGGGGCAGGCGGATTTTGGACAGGAGCTCAGGTAAGAACGACTCTCTCTGATCTCGGTCGTACCGTATCCAGGCTAACGCAGCCTCAAACACCTGCCAGGAGAGAGGCAAGGAAAGCTGAAGTTGTTTTTTCCTTTTGCAAGTTCCTGCTGCTGCCAGCTGTCTCATGCAAAGAAACTACAAATTGACACTGATCTTCCCCTCATCTCAGACGACGCGGTTTCAAGACGGAACGACGATGCTCTGCGTTGCACCAGAGGGCTCTGCTGTAGCAGAACGCCTAAAAGGTTGGCTTGGCTTCAGCACTCCTTTCTCCACACCCGACTTAGTTTGCAGTAATACTGATCCACTGTCCTATGGGACCGGATGTTTAGCACAAACATTTGCAGAGAGATGAGGGAGCTGGAAAGAGAGCTTTGTTAGAGGAGGCGGGACAGAATGCAAAATTTTGGGTTTCAGTATCAAAAAAAAAAAATCAGCAGATCTGGGAAGAAAAGAGCTGCTGCTGCTCTACTAAAACCAAACCAAACCAAAACAGAAAAACAAACAAAATCCCCACATTTAGGTGTGAGGGCTCCTTTCTTTAACTTTGGACAACTACATGACGGATGTCCACATAGAGTTGGTCTCTCTAGGCTCCCTTCACAGTCACTGGAGAGACAGAGGTCTTCAAAGTACAGAGCATCTGCCCTGTTTTGGATGGCAACTCTACAGCATGCCCTTGGCTCCAGATTACAAAGGGAGCCCGGTGCCTAGTTTCACTGAAGATGTACCCTCTGGTTCACCTAACTCCACGGTTCAAGCCTGAGCTCGTTTGTCCTCCTATACTACTGCATTTACATCCAGATGAGGATATCCCAGTTAGGACTGCCCTAGTCCTGCCGCTGCCGTCAGAGGCAGAGAGCCCACCAGGCATAGAGCAGTGGCTACAACGTCCCCAGCAGCAGCGCTGACCATTAGGCACGCTTTAAGGCCACCACACTTCACGCACCGCAGCCTCGATTCTATCCGCAAGTTCAGCTCATGGAGGTCACAACCCCACAGCAGCCTCAGGAGTGCCGGTCACGGTGGTTGCGGCTGCCACCTGGTGGGACAGCTTTACTCTGAACCAGACGACCGGACACCATGTGCACGCACCCGCTTTGGGTGCTCTTTTATGGCAACCCGTGGCTGTGGAGAAAAGGTCAGGAGTACCTTAGACTGGAACAAAACTATAAAGCCTTTCATTTATGGTGGAGAGAGCCAGAGCCTCCCACATCACCTCTCCTGAGACCTTCAGTGCAAAGGTACAAAAGGACAATTGTGATCTTAAAAAACTTACTTCCGTTCTACCACGTTCCCTAAGTGCTTTCTAAGCTGCACGCAGGCTGCATTGCAGTAAAACATAGCCCTTTCCGAAGAGGAGGGTGACAGCTGTCGGGGGCGAGGAAAAGGTCACCAGGGGCGAAACTCTTCTCCCAGAATCTCTGGACTCCTCCGCGCCCCACAAAGGATCAGCCTTCAGGACTCGGAAAAATTGGCGAGACACAATTCGGTGGTATGGTATTGCAGCATGGCTGGAATACGAAGCAGGTTCCCCCTCCTCCCCACTTCAGGGCCATTTCAGACAGCCCGATTACAAAGCGCTGTCTCGCCCTACATGGAGACAGCTGCAGGTCTGCTTTTTGTTAGTCACCTCCTCAGAAAGAGCAGGACAGATTTGCTGGCTCGAGGAGAGGGTCTGTTTCTTCTGCAGACTGTCAGCCCAGGCTTTCGCCAAATCGGCAGCGATAGGTTCTCATGGCTGTTTAGGTGTCCCAAAGTGGTTCAGCGCCGTTTCATGGCTATTCTAGGAACAATACTGTCTAAAGAAGCCCTCTTGATGGCAAATTCAGTGGAATATTCATTATAAAATGCCGTGGCACTCACAGCAAATTCTTTCCACCTCAAGAGCACTTCTTTGCACCGGGGTTGGAACATGCCCGTTGAGCTCTAGGAGGAAGGGCTCTGTGCTATTGCCTATGCCCTTATCATCTCCTCCCCAGGACCAGCAACTTACTAACAGTAAGGGACACAATTGCTAGTCTTCAGGACTCAGAGGCTGCACCTCTGTCACCAAAGGACCAAAATACCTCAGTGCAATATTTTGCAAAATCTGTAGCCCAGGATACTCGGGCAGGCATTTCTCAGAGCAAGGAGCATACTGGCATTATAGACAAGAAGCGGGGCTCTGAAAGAGTCAACAGGGCTCTGCCTGGCACCTCCCAGTGCCCCCACCTTGCCAGAGCATCTTCTCAGCTTCAGTCAGTCCAGGAGCAGGGTCATTTCCCATTTCACTCCCGTACAAACAAAAGTCCTCCAAGGCAAAAGCTTCCTCTACCAAATCCCATAGCAGATGCACATACACACCTGCTCTTCAGACTTCACATTGAGCTCATCCCTAGAAACGAGCTCCAGGACGTCTTCAAAGGGCAGTGCCAGGAACTCTTCTGACATGGATACTTCCACAAAGTGCTGATGAATGAAGCTGTTGGCAGCGTCATAGAGCACGGCACACATCATTGTTTCTGCAAACTGACGCACTCCCAGGCAGTTCTTCGGGTGAAGCCTGGGCCAGGGGGAAGAGGAGAACAAAAGTAACATCAGTTTAATAGGAGGACAGAATTGCAAACAGGTCCAGTGAAGCACTACACGTGAACTGGAGTCACACACCACAGCAAGTGTCAGAGGATGAGACACATAGTGAAAGCCACAGCTGCGCCCACTTCAGAGTCTAACCTTTTTGTTAGAACAACGGATGGCAGATTCCAGCTCATTAATGAATGTATCTGCATAGGGATCTGAAGGTGGATGCAAAACAGACCCAAAGGATGGAAATCACAACCTAAAGTCTCCCCTCAGATGCGCCACTGGACAGACTACCGGCTCTACTCTTTGGATGCGAGTTGTCAGCTGAGTGGAGGTGTGAGGCTCTGCACAGCAGTCCCTCTCCCCCACGTCTCTGGGTCCCTGGGCTTTGCATCTGGCACCTTTTCTTTTTTTTTTTTTCTTTTTTTTCTTTTTTTTTTTTAAAAAAAAACTCTAGCACTAGACAAAGCTGGATTCAAGCACGTTGCATAAACACCAACAATCCCTCTCTGTTTTTCCATCTTGTATCTTTTCAAGTACTCCAGAATAGCATCTGCGTTACAGCTTCACAAAGCCATTTCCTGACATTGAGGAGGCTTTATCACCAAAGATGCTTTTGCAATTAGAGGTTAGACAGTGAGAAGTACTGCCGCAGATCTGAGCCTCTTTCCAGTCCAGCCAGTCACTGCATCAAGGCTGCTCAGTGGCATAAAGAAGCTGGAAAAGACGATATTTGCCACGTGCATGTGCCAGCTCCAAGTGACTCTTGCAAACACAGAAACAGGTAGGTGTCCTGGACACTCCCATCCAAACAAGAAGCCTTGCCCAATACAGGCATGTTGCTGTTCAACAGGAGCCCTTAGTTCTGTTGTTCTGTGGTGCTAACCATCAGATATTAGATTGAAGGCCAGTTTGGAGAAATGCTTTGGAGTCTGACAGTTCCAGTGTTTAACCGTCCACAAAAAGCAGGCCCACCTACCGACAGCGGTGTCCAGACACATGTAAAGATGCAGCATCGCTTGTATCCACTTCGGGGCAAACACCCTGCTTTAAGTTACTGCTGTACGCTGGGCTAAAAGCAAGTACGTAGCCCTTGCAAGGGGCCAGACTTGCATGCTTGGATGATTCTCAGGGCTCGCACGGCTGTACTGAAAAGCTCACTGGATACCTCTTGCGTTTCTCAGGCTCTCTAAGCAAGTCCAAAGATCACGCTTTGCACACTTCCTCTTGTATTCCTCTTTCTTTGACATTTTATTTAATCTGGACCTGGACTACAGTTACCCAGATCCTCAAGCTGAGCTTACGTGGCACTTATATGGGGGACATAAGGGCGCACCTCACGGCAGGGGTTAGCTTGTGTCCGTTCTGAGCAGGAGAGCCTCACGGCTGTCACGTATAGATCCTTGTGAGCTGAGACACAGCCAGAGAAGGCCTGGTCAAAGCACTAGACCTGTCTGTGCACAAGTGCCTAAAAATATCCCAAATCTTATTTCTATTTAAGAGCGGGAGCTCCACGTACATGTCCCAGCTCTTCAGGATGGTCAGAGTCCACACATTTTCTTGTTATTAATCAAAATGACAGCTGTGCCTCTAACCCAGGACCTCACTTAGGACAACTAGCTGCTGCTGGTAGATTGAGGAGAAGTCTGGCAGCTAAATCTCTGAGAAACCAAACCACCTTGTTTAATCTCGATATAGACACAGCTACCTAAAGCTAGTGGGGACTCAAAGAAATCAATGCAACCCATTTCTTTCCAGCTTGGCGTTATATTCAGTACCCCAAATATCATTTTGCAAGAAAAATGAGTACACTGTAACATTATATAGCCTAATTTTCAACTAACTAGGGAAATTTTGGAAGTACACGGACCTATAAATTGAAACATCTTGAATATGGAGGAAACACATTTCTTCTCCCCAGTCCAGTTTTAAGAAAACAACTGGCCAAGATGTTTAATTTATTTAGTAGATATGTTTAACATCACAGTATGGAATATGCTGAACAGCTGCAAAGAAAAAAAGGTGTGCGTGTGTGTGTGGGGGCGGGGGGGGGGGCAGAAATCAAACAAGTTTCCCTGGCATTATCTAAAATATGTGCGGTATGTTTCCAAAGAATAACCCAGCTTCTCAGTTTCCAGATCATGCTGCTGGAACAGTCCTACAGCCAAACGCCAGCTAGGGAATTGAAAAACCTGGGATCATTTTAAAGCTGTGCCTTCCTTTCCAGCACCTCGGTTACAGTCCTTTTGTTCCTCCACTCCCACATACATCAGCGTAAGTAAAGGGTAACTACTGTGGGTTTGTTAATGGTAGAGGCAGTCACGCAGCATTGTAATGGGTAACTAGCCTGCTAGAAAGCTGGGGTGAAGCCGTTTCACTAGTGTCCCAGAGGAATAGTTTCTAAAGGTACAAAAGACACTAAAGTGCCCTCACTGGGACGCTGTACCATCAACTGACTCTAGTGAGACACGTCTGCTGAAACTGAAAAAGGGAAACGTTGAGTCAGTTTTGCCCTAGGTATTAATTCCCATGGCCAGCCAAGGCTTTGCAGCATGCCCCACCTGTAGTGCCTCATAAGCCGGGCAACTTATTTTACAGGCAAAGTGAATGATGAGTCTCGGGAGATGCAGACCCCATTACCATGCCGGCAGGAGACACCCTCCTTCGCCCCAAGCCAGCCACAGACAACTAAAGCTTTGTGGCTTTCTGTCTTTCTGCCCTAACCCCAAAAGAGGGGAACGCCACACTATCCTGCCACCAAACCCTCCTTCTGGGCGCTTGCTCTCGTGGGTGAGCAGAAAGCACAGCGGAAACATGAGCCGCTTACCTCTCTCTGAGAAAAGTGCAGCAGGCATCCTTGATATTTTGCAGCTGAAGGAAACTTGCCCCCATGAGCAAAGACTGGACGTTCTGCTGGTCTATTGCTAGGTGACCGTTGTAGGCAAAGTTGATCAGAGCCTCAAGTGCACTAAAGGAGGAGGGAAAGGGCAGAAAATCCATTGCATGCAAACCAATTAATTAACCTAGCACGACACGCTACTAACAGAAAAATCCTGTCTAGATCAGTTCATAAGGTAGGTTCATAAGATGGTAGGATTTTAAGTCTGCAGACTTGCACGGACAACGCAGAGTCCTGCAAAGCCCTCGCAACCATCTGCATATCCTCTCTCGGATGCCTCGGAAGATACCTGGGATCCATCCCCTGCATGACGATCTCATCCTGTTTGCACTCCATCATGTCGTTGGTGAACATGGCATGGAAGTACGGGATGGAAGCTGCCAGCACAATCCGGTGGGCACTGAATTTATGGTCCCCTACCTAAAAGCGGACAAAACGAGAAGGAGGAAAGATCAGCACCATCCACCACTAACCGCAGAATCCAGATTTACTGTAATACAGCTCTGCCAGTCCAGCAGTAACTGGGGGCTGAAAGTCAGACCATTTCCACCTGCGAACATGACAGCAGCCTGTCTCTTTAGAACTGAATTCAGCCTTTTGAATCCAGTTTTTCCGTCTCCTCATAAGCTACCATGACAATTGAACTGGGCAAAGATGACACAGTATTGCACACTAACAGTGGGCCATCTCCAGACTGCTAATAAGGAAAAGCCAGGTTCACTCCATCATGTGTGCAGATTAACCCGCTACTCCACTGCACAGGGAAGTTTCAAACCTAGATCTGCTTCCCTCACCCGCTCTGCACAGGAAACATTCACCCATGGTCGTGCTTCACATAACGCCCTCCCCACAACATCCGACAGTCAGGATTTCCACGTCACCCACCTGTTCCCGAGACACCCTCGACACAGGAAAACAGCCACGAAGGCCAGATGCTCAGCGTGCGTCACCGAGTGCAGTTACTCTGCAGAATTAAAAGCTGGGCTAATTGACTGCTACTTCCTTTTCCTTAGCTCTTCCCCTGAGCCGATGACCAGCTTACAGGTTAAAGCCCATGCCCTTTTCTTGTTGGATGTCCGTTTTGCATCTTCAGCTCATGCTCAGCATCACTCGCCTTCAGTAGAACCTGGAGGCTCAATGGCTCATCTCCTTCAAATCTGTGTAGGCTCACTTTCACCTGCTCTACTAAATCAGCTCACACTTATATCCTCTAAAGAGCGTTTCTGAGCTGTAAGGAGTGAGACCTGGAAGGCGCTTCTTGGGTCTCCGACTCCAGTTCTCGCTCCTGCGGACGCTACACGATACTTCATCCTCTTCAAAATTATACAGGCTTTTGTTCTGATTCTTTGGTGGTTTGGAGGTTTTTCCGATTTCCAGGCTAACTACACTCATACCAGCTTATTCCCATCTGAGTTTGTGCCAAAACTGCCCCCTCTCCGCACTTGCGAGCAAGATGTTCCCTTTTGAGCTTGGTTTTGCTGGGTCAAACAAGCTGAGCACAGTAGGACCTCTCCTCTCCAGGTCACCCTAAAAGCCCTTCTCTTTTTACTCTATGCTTCTCATCAACTTTTCACAGCAGCTTATTAACAAAAATGTTTGCATTTGGGGTTTTCATGGTTACCAACGGTGCCTTGCCTCTCCCTCTAGGCCCGGAGCTATCAACCTCACTAAATACAACTTGCTGGGTATTTAGAGACCAAAACACCTGACACATTAAAAAAAAGGGGGGAATCAGGCACTATAAAACATGCATAAGTGGTTTTTTTTTTTTGCTTTTTTAAAAAAGCATACTCTTTTACAAATGCTGTTTTGCTTTTTTCAAACCCGCTTGACCATTTGGCTGCTGCTTGTACAAGTCTGCCTGCACGACCGGGACGTGCAGACAACCGGGAGCTGCTCGCTTTTAGTATGCGGTCAGCTCGCAGCACTGTTTGCCTCAGCTGCAGGGACCAGCCAGCTCTGATAGGGCTTTCCAATTTAAAACAGCACTCTCTCTTTGCTTTAGCGCTCTGCTCCCTTTGCTGTTAACTCGGTTGCTAACTTATCATACTTCACCTCCACTTCCTGCCCTCACGTGGCGGCGCTGAGCAGGAGGAGACGAGCTCCCAAGGAAGCCGAACAGCAGCCGGAGCGCGGTGGAGAAAGAAGAAGGACTGAACGAGACTTGCTTGGCAAACGAGGACAAAGATCTCCAGGAGAGAGGCAGAGGAAATGGAAAAGAACAAGGTAAAACATGAGGACGGATGTTTTATAGCAGCGGAGATGGTAAGACCAAGCATGGAAGTTACAGAAGAGCAGCAAGACTCCCACAGCTCTACGAAAGCAAGCACTGGGCCACAGCAAGGGCATCAACTCTCAGTCCCACACCATGCAGAAACATCCCCAGCTTTCTTCTAGGCACGTGACAGAGATGGCGATCTCTGGCAAAAGGAAGTGAGGCTTTTAGGGCTCGCAAAGGAGCCCGTGGTCAGAGGGGACTGAGCTCAAGGTCGCAAGCCCTGGCTCTGTTTGAGTCATCAACGCTGTCAGTGCCTCTCACTACAGGGTTTTGCGCTCTAATTTTAAACAGCCGCTCGTAAGCGAACACAAACTCTGTCCTGGCCTCTTTAACGTAAGATATTTTAAAACACTTATAAATACACTGTTTGATGAGAAAAAGCCTGCAAGAGGAAGGAAATCTGATTCAAGAACCTCTGCCCCTCTGAAAGCTAACGAAATCTCACTGTGTCCATGGGTGCTTGGTTTTCATTTCCTTCTCCCTATGGCCAATTGCCAAGTTCAATGCATGTACATATCGAGGACTTTGCTGCTCTCTGTATCTTCACGCAAGCTAGTGTCCAAAGTGCTGCTCACGAGAGAAACACAAGAATTACACCGTTAAGGTACATAAATAGAGCTACGCAACCTGTTATGAAAGAAACTGCAAGGGTTCAGCAAGAGTGAACGAGGCTGATCCTGTTCTGGGGTGGAGGACAGACCAGATGGCCTCCTGGGGTCCCTTCCAGGTTGTCCAGTAGGGTTTGAAAGCTAAGCATTTACTGCAGAAGCGCCGATTTCCGCGCAATTTCACTGCTCTCTTTCTGTACGCTACAGAAGCAAAGCCAACGTTTCGGCAGAGCACAGGCACCTCAACCGGTAAATAAAAGCACCACTGCTTCGGTATTCAGCCTGCTGCCATGAGGCTTCAGCGCAGTGCTTCAGGAGCTCTCATTTTGGGACTTCTTGTTGGGGAAAGGTTTAGCTGTGACCAGCTGCAACCTTGATGACCAAGATAACTAATTCGCTGCTCAACCCACCCACAGTCCGGCTGAGAGGCTCAGAAACGCCTGACCTGTTCAGCAAGCTCCACGGGCTCGCGCGTTCTCCAGCCCCTTCCTACCCTGCGGATGAAGCCGCTCTGCCAGCCAGGCCCACATCAGCTGCTGCCAGCCCCGTCTACCTGCTACTGACGGGAGGAATAAAACGTCTGTAAAGTATATCCTAACAGCATTACACACGCCATCCATCAGGCTGGTGCATCATGCATGCAAAAGGCAGAAGCTGCAGGAGCTCAGCAGTGCAACCAGGTCCATCTTTCCTGCTTCCCCAGCTCTGAACCATCACGTATAGAGAAAGGTCTAAGTGTTATCACCCTTATTTTAGAGCTGGAGGACTGCCAAGGCTGCTAAAGCTACAGGTATATGCCCACAAAGGAAGTCTGCAGCACAGGAGAGGCTTGTCAAAGCCCTCGGTCAAGGATAAGGGGCTGATAAACACCCCAGTCTGGTTTTTTTTTTTTTTTTCCCTCCATACTAGGTACATTTCTTCTTTGAAATATATTTTGCTGAAAATTTTTTAAACTAACTCAGATGACTGCAGTGGTGGGAGCTCAAGACTGCAGCTCCGGACCTCCACCTCCTACTCGCAGCACAAGTGTTTTCTTTGACCTTGCCTCTCTAACATGTATATTAAAACCACATCTCCACGGCCTGCGTTTCTCCCTAGGAAAGGCAGCAATGGACCAAAATCACGACAGATGCTTTACAGCCCAGCGGGGCGAGTCCAAACACAACGGATTTTAGCACTGTCCAAGAGTCCATGCGAAGCAGAGGCTTTCCAACATGAAAGTTCTCCAGTTCTCCTCTCCCGGAAAGGCTGCACGGCTTCAGGGACGCCTCGCAGTGATCTCACCTCATGACGGGCTGCCATCAAATAGCCTCACTGCAAATAATACGTCTGGTTATTGCAAAAGCAATCATTTCGAGTCATTCAGCAAGATTCCAGCCAGGTTAACGAGAGCCGTTTCATCACAGGGTGAGAAACACCCCGTACCTGGGCAGCACCACCCTTTCGGCTCTGAGCTGCACAGCGTCTCAAAGGGGCAGCCTCCTTTCTCGGGAGGGCATTCCCGCTTCTTTAGGGAAAAGATTTTACAGTGGGGAATGCCCCGTTTAACGGCGTAACTGCAGGGGGGCTGACCCCGCACGGGCAAGGCCGAGTTTGAACTGATCGGGAGGCTGTTTCGACTGCCTGCAGCGAGAAACCTCAACTAACTCCCTGAGCAGGGCGAAATGTCCTACCCCGGCTCGTTCCCCACCTACGCGTGGGGCACGGCTTGCAGATGCTGCCGAAGCAGTGCAGCGGGGCCGTCCCTTTCACGGACGGCTAACTGCTTCCCTTGCACGGGCGCTAATGCTGGCCTGACCTTGCGATGAGCCAGTTCAGGGAAATAAAACAGAAATGAGCTTTACCAAAAAAAGGGAATAGTTTTCTGCTGGCTTAGCAGGGGAAGGAGGAGGAGGAGGAGGACTGGCCCCTGTGCTCAACAGCTAGATCTGCGCAGCCTGTATCACAAACGGCTGATGCAGCTGCGCGGTGTGATCACTGCCAGCTGAAGGGAAGCTGTTCCCTGGTACTGGGCGGCACGAAACGTGCAATTCTTTTTTTTCTATTTTTTTTTTTTTTTAAACTTGCTCCTATAATGATAGAGGGCCCTCAGGGAGATTTATAAATTGGGATCTCTGGTCTAGAAACTATCATTATGTTCCTACCATAAACACTTAATGCCAGGTCCTGAAGGAACAACTAAACTCCTCGCTGCTGGCAAACGACAGTTCCTGTTTTTCCTGTACAAGGCAAAAAACACTTCTGGAGATGAACACACACACACACACACACACACACACTGCACGCCCCCTCAATTCACCCTTGCATCTTAGGATCCAAAACGTGCTCCCCATCTCCAGAGTCAATCGATTTTTTTCTTTTGATCAAACCAGTATGCCTTCCCATGCCTGCAGCCTGATGGAGTCGAGCTACCGTCAGGTAAGTCTAATGCTAAAGCGATAAAGAACTCACGTTCTTCTTGATATCATTTCCACGCTACCCCAAGAGGCTTTCATCTGCCCGAAGTCTGCCGCAGGCTTGCCCACGAATTGTAGGAATATCAGCAGAACAGGAGAAAAAGCAGAAAACGCTTCGCCTGGTTGAGTAAAACCCCATCCCTGCACTCCCTGAGCAATAGTGCAGCCGGCAGGGACATTCTGTTCAGCTCTTGTTTTGACTTTACAAAGCAGCTCTAACACAACAGTGCAACGCTTGGAACCGACTGCCCTCTTCAGCCGCATTCAAAAGATCTCCCAAAGGAATTTCCCCTTTTATTTGACATTTAGATACAACTGCATACGCTCCGAGACCAAAGCATCCAGAGAACGGGATCGTTCAACATGCAACTTCCTTTAAAGCAGCCCTTTACGGAAGGTAGGATGCAGCCAGCCTCGAGCTCTGGCATCTTCTGCAGCAGCAGCTCCCTCTCAGCAGCAGGATTTTTATTACGTTTCTGG